ACACACTTTCTCCGTCATTACGGCGAATAGAGGTCCATAATTATCGCATGAAACGCGCAATAACTGCACGTAACCACATTTCTCCTGACCCCTTACGTACGCGTATCGAAATCGGCAAGTAGAACGGGTCGGTTTCTTTAAAGCCCTGTGATATAAACGTTAAATCAGTCCAAAGACATTGAACGGCTCAGTGATTCTCAAACTGTGGCCAGTGGGCCCATGGGGGTCCAAGAAACAAAGAAATACCGCAGAATTTTCGATATCATTTTGCATCAAACACTCCTACAACAAGCAACCTCTTAATTAACTTCAACGAAGTCTAAATACAGGGATAAATTAAATGTGTAAAACAAATAAAAATTCTTAAAATCTATATACATTGTTTTAATTTGATTTTGCTCTTGGGGGTTCACCGAAAGTTTTCCTTCGTGCAAGGAGGCTGCGGGAACATGAAATTTGAGACATTGTAATGGTCATTAAACAGATATTTTGCCATCGAGCGATATATATTTTTCTATGGGAATGGAAAAAATTGAGCATCGTCAAATTTCCAAGCTCGTACGCGTATTTCTTGCGATCGCGAGTGTAGAATTGTGTCATTGTCGTGCAGCCTTCATCGATTGCGTCAGGCTACCTTATTACAAACGATGTAATAATTACTGTGCTGCGTCTTGTTCTGTTTACCGATAAGAAATAGCTCGTGTTAATAAACTTTATTGCTTATACGCATACGTAACGGTAATTCGAAGTTCAAGTTAATCGTGGCGCAGCCGTAAAATTGATATCGCGTAATTGGAAGCTATTAATCGTTGTTTCATTTAGTGTGCTACTGTTTGAAATAAACAATGGGGCGATCTTACAATGGATGTAATCAGAACATCGGTGAAAACATTTCGAACGACTAACAGATCGTGTTAAAATTTGTACTGCACCCACGCCACGTGTTACATATACATTTTTTGTATTATATATTTATTAGAAGAGTATACAGTCCGGTAACCTGTCGATCAGTATATAAATGAAATACAATTCGTATATCATGGTTTGCAAGAGCGCGTAATTCAATTTTCTTTTTTTATGCATGCCTTCGGCGCAACTTTATCTTATATTCTCTTTTCGATCGCATTTTCTACCAAACTAAAGCGCTGAGGATGTAAAAGCTAAGAAGTCACACAACACCCAAAGAAACTTCTACTGTCTACGGTAGGCTCTAGCATTAAAAAATTAATTGCGTGTTCTTATTACATTATTTCGTATCGTTACCTTAATTTTCGTTCCCCGAGCGGAGCACACTTATCCGATCCACTCCAGAAAATCCAAACGCGTCACCGGCATGATATATCGTCGAATTTCACCGCACAATCACACACGAGTCAACTGAATTTTATCTGATTTCGACGTAACATTCTGTCACTGGTCCTCGAGGCATCTGTCGTGCGTCGCCTCCTCGAGGATGCCGGTTACGAGCGTCGTCGAGAATAACCGAGACCCGCCGAAGGTCACCGAAGCTTCCCGAAGACCAGCGCGAATGACCGAACGTTTTCGCGTACCTGACATATTGCACTTCGAATTTCCAAAACAGCCTCGATTATTTTTCCGGGCCGCGTGAAAACCTCTGATTCATTTTCACGCTGCAATTAACTTTCGACCGCGACGTGCGTCCGTTATTGTTGCGCAAGGGGAACTACGGAACGCGTAACGGAAGTCGAACGTAGGCGAGGCGAACTTTGGTTACGAACTGGTCAGTCAGCGAGTGGACAGTTAGGCCCAAGAGGGAGTAAAGAATGGTAGGGAGAGGGTTGTAGCAGACTCGGATTCGGAAAGCAATTTGCCCACGGTGTAAATGAAATTAATAAGCAGTAATGGCAGTAACATTAACAACGTTATTTTCACATTTTATCAGCTACCGAAGATGTTCAAATATTGACTTGGCAGTGTATATTAATACCTTCAGAGCACACTCGAGGAATTAAAAATTTTGAAGATGCAACAACGTTACGACGTTGTATAGAGTTAACATTTTGAAGGATATAGCTAGAATTTATATAAGAAGGTGGGTAAAAATTGTAACAGAAAATAATAATAATAATGAAAATTACTTAATGGTTTGGAATAAATGTACACACATACGTCGTGGATACTTTTACGACGAATTGCAAATAATTCGTTTCACTTTTATCTAGTGAATAATTGACGAGGAGCCCGGAGCGCCGCGATTTCTAAATGCAGCCCTGAATCAGGGAGTCACAGGGAGGGGGGAGAAGGAAGAAAGTAAGAAAAGCAGATAGAGAGAGAGAGAGAGTCCTGTTCCGCGTGCACACGTGCACGAATGTTGCGTGCTCTTCTTCTGTGTGTGACTTATTCGCGGCCAGGTAGGGCCACCGATAGACCGTACGTAATGTAAACGCGAACAAAACATGTCCTTTTTCAGGTAAACCGTGAAACTAACCTGCGCGTGTCTCCGCCCACGTCTTTACGAGTCAAACTGGCGAACAGCTGACACGTGCAGTCTTCCGTATCACGGCGTGCCAGGATTTAATGATCGAGCGTACTTAAAATTCTTCGACTACCACGGCTGATTTTGCAACGGGGTTATAAATTAAAGAAACCACTTTCGAAAATAGCGTTATTACAGTTGCCGGAACTGGGAAGGTAGTTTAAAATGAAATAATCTATTTTAACAATACTAGAATACCGAGAAGATTTTAAGAAAATATTTCACAAAGAGAAGATAAAAATTTAAATCAATACATGGACCTTATCAGTTATCTGTTATTTTCTTTATTTTTAGATGCTAACGTTGTGAAAAGAATCGCACTGTTCGACGAGATTGCGATCAGACATCGCGTGTACAGACGGTACCGTTTCTCCCAATGGTTCTCCGTTTTCACAACGACACTAGATATCAGCATCGTTGGAATGTTATCGACACGGACAGTCGTTCTTGATCTTGTCTCAACGAGATCGTTCTCAGCTATGCGGGAACGGCGATTGTCCTAGAAAACGAGATTCTACCGGTCGGCGCCTGGTTCGCGGTAGTTGTGCAATTGCTCCGTAACGACTTCGTCGAGACCTTCTTACACACGCGTACCCGGTTTTTGCGGAAACCACCATCGAGATACACCATTAATTCGCGCACGCCTTAATTGTCAATCGGAAGCCACCGATACGGGACGACGGATTTTACATTTTCTACGTTTCTTCATACCGCGGTACACCACGCCATAATTACTAGAAACTACTGATAACACCGATCTTGATACAGATAGCCTGTGCTATTCGTAATCTTCGCCACTGATGTAGTAAAAAAATCATAAAGGAAGTTGAGAAACACTGCTCTAGTACACCTTTTGTATTTGTTAAGTTATCACATGTCCCGTAAAGTGGACATTGGCACCTAGAAGTATTTGATAATATCAAGACACTCGCGTACCACGTAACACAAGTAACAGTACCGCAAGCTTCTATAATTTATTAATAAATATATCTTCACTTTTTAATTTTGTAACCCATCTATATCTATATTTTGTAATAAATTAAGTTAATGAAAGGGGTCAATTGGTGCAATTGGACTTTGTACACCTGTGATTTACGGTCACTGACTCGAGAACTTATGTACATATGTAGGAAGCTTGAATGGATCTATTATTAACTTATTTCGTAATAAAATATAGTCAGGGTATCATTAACTTTTTCTTTACAATAAAATATAGCGTTTCTATTCAACGACGTTCCATATTTAATAGGTAATAGTACGTTATTCGATAATCAGAGCGTGCAACGTTAACGCGTACTGTGTGCCTTAATAATCTTCTACTCCGAGGAAATGACGTACCCAACTGCGATGAAAATATAATATCGAGCAATTAGTACGTTTGTATTTGTAAGATACGTACGTTCCGGGAAGCTCTATCTTCTAACGTTATTACAACACGGTATCGGTAAATGTTAACGCTTAAATGGAATCGTAAGATACTCAAACACCTCAGAAAGCATTATACATCTTTGTAAAAACAATCTATCTGTAATTAATATATTTCTTTTATGCAATAAAACTTTCTACATAGTTCGTTATGTTTTATAAATTGTTTCCTCCGCAGAAACTAAAGAATGTCATGTCTCCCTTATTGTCGAACGGAAACTGTTCCAATCTAGACCCAGTAAAAACTTAACCCCGTTTTCGCGTGTGTTCCGTGCCAAAGAAACGCAAGTCATTATTTACCCAGCGCAATAAGAGTGCTCCATTTTCTGGAAACTAGAAAAATACTGTTCGCTTCGACGGACATCGATCGATCAAATGTTTTACCAGAGCGCAATAATCTCGATTACAAAATTCCAACTTTTGACCTTTCGCCATAAATTCTTTGGGAGATCACCTAACTATACACATGTAGGTCAGCTACTGAGTCAGTAATAAATTTTTTGTTATTTTACGGACCGTGTCACACGACAAACATGACCATGCACGGGGAAGATAAAAGGCCAGCAACTATGAAAACATATTCTCTGCGTCTAATTTAAACTTTTTATCGAACTAACTTTTTTATTATCACAAAGTTCGTGGTTTTACTCTTTCAAGCGTTCAATTCATTTCGTTTTTGTTTGAATAAAAGTACAAATCCTCGAGCACTCGCTGGCGTCCGCCATGACAGTTTACAATGTTCTCTAAATTAGAAACGAACATTTGGTCCAAACGCACCGTTGGAAGACCCCCGGAGCGCCTCGAAGGGTTAATCCGCATTGCAGACGACTCCGTTTCGAACAAAGGCACCCAGGAGCATAAAGCATCGGACTGTTTCGTCCTTGGTCGTGACTCTATCGCGCGGGGCGTAAAAAAAGCCCGCAACGGGAATATCTCTGGCTCGGGACTGAATTCAATCCTGCACGATAACGTTTCATCGATTTATTAACTCGGTTACCTTAGAAACCCGGTTCGCTGGCCCTCGGTTAGTCTGGGGGATAACCGTTATCACGATGCACGAATACAATCGATTTCTTACCGCTTGGGTGTAGCCCAGCCAGAGTTTCGAGTCTATCTTCTTCCTGCACGACATTGTTCCCAATGATTATCGTCGAACACCGCTCGATTCTTTTCTCTGTTTCCGTTCCAGCCAAGATCGCCAGCGGAGACCTCGACTTCCATTCACTCGAGTTTTATCTCACGCGGATAGTCTTTTCGCGGGAGTCTTTCCGTTTCGACCCACCGGGCTAAAAAATTTCGTCCACGGTGAGATACCTGCCCGTTGATTCATCCTCGAACGATTTGCATTCCTCGCGGTTGATGCAATTTTCGTACTATCTCGTTCGCTTGGGCATTGTTTGCGCTGGACGAGACGTCTGATCGAACAAATAACGTTCCATCGACGAGCTGACGAATTCTTTCGTGATGGGGACACTGGGGTTTCAAGATTATCACGTTGTTCGTCACTTGGGTATTTATTGCAATGGAATGTTCATAGTTGTTCTTGAGTTGGGAGTTATTGTTTCCACTGGATTAAGTGTCCGTCGACGATAAACTGTCGCAACAAACGATAAGGCTGGCGATTCCATAAATCCTCTTGAGGTTGTTTATTTTTGTTTCTCACGTTTTAACTCTATAAACTGGTCGAAATACACGTTTAACGCGTCGATAGGTGAACACCGTACCCGCGAGACTTTTCATTCCCCATCCACTTCGATCTGCTATTTTCTACTGAAATCCCGATGACTTTCTCAGCGGCTGCAAACACACGCCGTCAGAATCTCTTCAGCTTTCTTCTTCGACGGAGCAACGTGATTCGCGGATTTGCGATTCTCATCGATGATGTAAAGCACAATAGAGCATCTCTTCTCACAGTGTGATAATTTTCGATATTCTTCTCCCGCTGTCTCGTCGTGTCGAGCAACGACTTAGCAGATAATCTACGACACGTGAGCAGAGAATCATGGCTGCGAATGTAGCTTCCCGTCCAACGTGAGTACTCGCACGCAGACGATTACGTTATCAGCCTGCATACGCGCCTGTCACTCCTGCATCCAATAATTGCTCCCAGCAACATTCCCAGAACCAACCCTCCGACGACTGTTAATCGTCCTCAAAATGGAATTTTTAACGCCAGAGGGTTCGTAAGATTTAATATCGTAGAAATATTTACGGTACTCGTGGGAAGAATACGAGAGGTGGGACAAATCCATAATCGATGCTGGTGTTAATTGGACGGAATTAATTGGCTCGAAGGAAGGTCTTCCATCGCGGAGTTATGTAAATCTCTGGGCTCTTTGGACGCGTTGCGACACGGACTTCCGTTCGCCTCGAAGTTCGTTTCTTCGTGAAATTGAACGATCCATGATCGTCGATAGGACCTGCAACTCGATTAAAATCGAGGTTATCGGCTGTTGGAACGTTTCATTGATCCACCGACGTCGACGATATTATTGTCGATCGTTCGTGGCGCACCATCGCGGAAAAAGGTTCTTCGCGCCGCGGCAAGAAACGCTCAACTAACCCGGCGTCGTGAGGCTTGCACGTTATCTGTCACCTGCAGGACAATTGATAACACCGACGACGATTATGACGCGAGTCGTCGCGACGGTACGCGCCGATCGCGGTCGAGTCTTCGTAAACAGAAGCAAACGCCAGCGAGGAATTTCGGCGAGATTCAAGGCAACGAAACGATAAATTAAGAGACGAGATAACGTTTCGAAATATCGTCAACAATACTTTGTCTCCCATCGCGAACCATTTAATTTAAAAAAAAATATTCCTGCGACGTTCATTTGAAACAGTATTATTGCTTGCACTTTAAAGAATGTGTGACTTATTTTATGTGTTTTAGAATTTTTCAGCCCCAGCCCTTGGAATGGTTCCAATGCATAAAAAAATAATTTCTGTATCAGCTCGATCGAATAACGAGAAAACGTGCCTCGTAGGTTCGTGTGTGAAACTTTGAGAGCTTCGGGGCACGTTTTTACGTTATCTGATCGAGATCCAATTTTACATTTGATATCTCTTTACACACGGTCAAATTTTGTATGTATTTTAGTGATTAACGCGTTGGCTGCCATGGTGGTCACCGGTGACCGACAGTTCAAACTAAACATTGTAAATATAAATAAAAAATAGTTAAATATCGACGATTGTTGACAAATGGATTCTTATTAACCCTTTAAACTCCGTTATTTATTTTCGTGTTTAGTATTGCAAGATTGTAGTCGACTGTAAACGATTGTGGGACAAGGCTGATTTGCAACGCAATTTCGCGTATATTTTACCATTGACAATGACTTCGACGGATGGCTAGTGTCCAATATTGAAATTAATCCACGTTAATGCATCCACAACAGTGTGCAAACGAGTGAGGGAGTGTTTGCGTCACATCGATACTCCACACATTCTCAAACAGCAATTTCATGCTCCTATCATGACCCATAAGAGCCAAAGAATTTCACAATATTTTCCAGCGAAATCAGCCCAACTATGCAACTATGAAATTTTAAAACGACAAAAGACATTGAAGATAATAACAGTCGTTTTACTTTGTCCGTTATACTTGGAGAAATGCTCGTGAATTTATGGACTGACCTAGACGATTGCCTCACGTTATCACAAAAATTACGATTAAAAGATAAAAGCATTATCTGTTTCGTTGTGCCTGTCAGAGACGCGATATCGCAGAAAATTATGTAAGCATTACTTAATTATGTATAGCAATTCTTAGCCGTCGTTCGAGACCAGTATCGTTTCGTGTTGATAATCCGGACGAACCAGTTAATCGCGACGTTTCCGGTTTTGGGTGAAAGCCACTATTTCGTTACAGGTTACGTCATTATGTGTCGAATCATGGTGTCGCGCAGACTGGCCTGTTCTTCGTCGTGTAAACATTATTATCGCGATGATATATGTATGTCGGTGCTTCCCCGAAATCTTACACGACTGCTAGTAAAAAAAAAAAATGATAACGACGAACGTGTACAAGGCTGAAACCATTTGTACATGCCTACCAGGTATAAAGAGCTAATACATTTGTTATTCTGCCTGGTTTTTCCATTCGCAAATTTACATTTACGGTATTAAAATTTTCCTGGCTCTGGTCTCACAAGGTAAATTTCAATCTACAAGCCAGGAAAATAAAATTAAGAATATGTAAATCGGTGTAGACTTGAGGTTCTGCTTGCAAGGTGATCATTTTATCTTCCTTGGATGTTATTGAAACTATCATAGTTTTTATGCAATTTAAATGCTTACGTTTCTTTTGCAAGCATATTATTTTGCTCGTTTATGGTTGAACACCCTGTACAAACGCTTAAAAGTAGGTGGAGTCGCTCGATGCGGGTACATACATACATACGTATGGTCGTTTCGCGTCTGCACACGCACACAGAGAACACAAAAGCAGGTGTACGACAAAAGGATACCTTCTGTGCGGGTCTTTACGCACTCCACGACCTTTTAAGAGATACGCCTTGACAAGCAGAGTGCGTCAACTTTTCGCAATCGGACACAATAAAGCAGTTCGTGACATCAGCAAGCGTTTGGTATCCGGTTTCTTCTTTTTTCACTTATAAAGAGTGTTCGGCTATTTCTGGGGAGAAATTTTAATGGGAGATTCTAGAGGCCAAAATAAGACGAAAATCGAGAATATCAATTTCTTGGCTGAGACTTCGTTAAAAAAGTTATTAAAAAATTAAATTGAAAAATTTCAAATCGTTCTGAAAAAATTATTTTTGGTTATGGGGGTCGATTATAATCATTTTTGGTGAATAGACACACCCTCGAATTCCTACGCATTTTCGAGAAAAAAATTCGAATAGGTATGAAATTTTTCGGCGAAAAGAAAAATTTCAAGTCGTTCAAAAAAATTATTTTTAGCTGCGAGGGCCGATTACAATCATTTTTGGTCATTACACATACTCCCGAAATGTTATGCATTTTTGAGAAAAAAATTCCTTACTGAAAATCTAATGTAAGGCCAGAAAAGCTACACATGTGTATCTTTAAAATGTCATAACTTCTGAACGGATTGGAGGATTTCAATATTTAAAAAGCCAAACAACGCGTATTTTGGTGAAGAATATATGGAAATTCAAAAAACTTTCAAAAAATTATTCCTTGACTCCGCAATATGAGAAAAACTCCATAAAAATGGTCCAATTTTCAAACAGCCATAACTCCTATAATAGCGAATATATTTCATTGAAATTTTGAGGGGACCTAGAGTTCTTGGATACCTATAAAAAAGTATTTAACAACTTTTCTGTACAACGCCAACTACGTTTATTAAAAATGAAAAACGAGTTTTAAGAAATATCGACAGAGGGGAGGTGCCTAAATTTTTAGACGATAATGAAAAATTTCAAATCATACTAAAAAAATTATATTTAGTAACAGGGGTAAATTACAAGTATTTTTGGTGAATAGACATACCCCTGAAATCCTACCCATTTTCGAAAAAAAAATTCGAGATGGTGTGAAATTTTTCTGTGAAAAAAAAATTTTCAAATCGTTCTAAAAAAATTATTCTCTGTTGCAGGGGTCGATTACAATCATTTTTGGTCAATAGACCTACCCCCGAAATCCTATGCATTTTCGAGAAAAAAATTCAGTAAGGGCGGAACTTTAAATGTTAATAACTTCTTAACAAAGGCTCTATCAACAAATTGGTATTCTTGAGTTTCGTCTTATTTTAGCTTCTAGAATCTTCCATTAAAATTTTTCCCAGGGTTCGCCGATCTTATTTATTCGGAATTTTTTCAAAAACTATTTTTCCACATTTTAATTCTGTTAAAATAATAATTTACAATTGTCACAAGGAAAATTATTTATATTTTGTTAGGCAATTTTGGAGCCTAGGCAATAATTTTATTATCCACACTGCATTATTATTGTTTCACAAATGGTTATACTGTAAACCCCTGGTCGCTTCTTGAGACAATGCCGCGCGACACGTTGGTCGACATATGGCTAACGACAGGAATGGAATAAAATAGAGAATCGATATAGTGGCGAGATAACAATTTGCGTCACACGGTACGTGGCATTGTTCGATCGGTTTACACGATATTCGAAATTTACGGACGCCTGGAACGCGCGGTAACTTCTGCCTTATAATGGAGCCGGCAACGCGCTCTTATCGTGCACAGACTACAATAGAATAAACACTACTTCTTATTTCAATCGATGCTCTTTACGGGAACTCGAGTCCTGCGACTGATTGTGCATGCACACGCGAAACGGAAATCGTTTGTATCGCGTGACCCAGAAAAATGCAACATCGACGAATATCGATTTTCTTTTTTAATAGTGTTTAAAGTCAAACGGAAGGCCATCGACGATTTGCACAGTCCTTTCCAACGAGAGTGATAGAACTCTGTAAAAATTGTTGCAACGTTGATTTTTAATGGGTTAGTCAATTCGATACAGAACGATACCTTTCAAAATTAAATCAGTCACAAATGGCGATAGAAGAAACACGTCCATCATTACCGTGACGCAGATAGAAATCGCCTTTCACTGTGTCAGCAGACAGCACGATTTTTTTTCCACGACGTGACAAAAATGAGTCCAATTCGGACGTGTCGATTTGCTCGTTGCATTTACCGATTCCTACTTCGTCAGATTTGTTTCGTTTCAAAATGGTATCAGAAGTCGTGTTCCTCAAATTTACTTCCAACGCTGAAAAAATAAGATGAAATAAATAATTGTGATTAGTTTGAGGTCTTAAAATGATTGTTTCAATAATTGATAATAAATGTTAATTTTAACCACTAATAGCAGAGATAATTCTATGGAGAGATTAAAGAGAGACACCATGTAAGATGCAGAAGATTAGGGGTTGGTAAATTATCTGTTAAAAGGAACAGCGAGGACTTTAATTGCCTCTGGCTCGTTAAAATTGTTATGTTTTTATTTGCATCGCTCTAATCGTATCTTTCGATAAAATTTTTCGTTAATATGTGTACGCTCGAACCGAACACGATTTCAGAAATGTCGACAATGTTGTAATCTCAATAGCAGCGGCTACCAGCTATCTTATCTGCCTTTTTTCTCGCCGGTTTCCCGCCGATTGCTTTAGTTGGAAACGATACACATTTATCTCTGCCCGGTGGAATTACATTTTGTTCCGTTCCTACCGAATTATCCACGTTAAGCTCATCGATCCCGAATTCTGATAAGACCAATGAAAGGTATCTCTTCCATTCAAGTCAATCGACCATACACAATTCTTACCATATCGACGGTAATTACCCAAGGATCTGGGATCGACTTGGTTCTCGAAACATATTTATCAAAACAAAGAATTCTGCGTTATTTTTGTTCGATCACATATAGTTTTACACATTATTGTTATCTGCGAAACGATCGAAGTCTATCGAGACGATACCGTCGATCGAAAAACACTTAAACGTTCGATAAAGCTCCCTTCAATTACCCGTTTAATAGATTTTTTTCGCGCGACAAGTAGCAACGTGTAATCGCGAAAGTCGTCGAACAGAAAGAAAAGCAATTAAACATTGACAGCTGGAATGTAGAAAGCAATTTAACTACGCAGAAAATAACGCCACTTTCTTCGTTATCGCGAGAAACCTCTTTTACGATCCTTCGATATTTCGAAAAACTAGTTCTACACCCATTGAACCGTGAAAATAGCAACTAAGTGGGAAAATTACTACCCTGAATTAATTACGATCCTATAAATATCATAAGTGAAACACCACTGGGGGTCGTAGCACCGAATGTGTTAATAATTCTAGGAGTTAATCAGTTATTTCAAGGTTATTTTACTTTCCACTTATATTTGTACACTATTGTATGGTGGAATTATTTCCATTAACATTGTGTTATTTCTGTAGAAGTAGTTTTTTTAAAATATTTTAATTGACAAGTAATCCCAGATTAATTACAAGAAAATTACAAGATTCACAGAGAGGTGTAATGATGTATAAACAGTAAACACAAATCAATACATATGTTTTTTTCCCCCCGAGCGGTCACCCATCCCAAAGTTGACCCCGCGCCCGATGAAGCTGCACTTCGATAATCGTA